TATGGAAGTTTTCTGTTGTTTATACTAAATCTTAAAAATAATTTTAATTTTCAGTGTTGAATTTTTCAAAAAAAATTCAATTTTTATTATACAAATGAGACAAGAAATTTTTTTATTGTATTTATTATTTTCCCATCCATCATATTATAAAAATTATTTTATGTAATTATCTATGTATGTGACATATTTTTAACATAACGTATTACATATTGTAATATAATTATATATTATTTAGAAAACAAATTTATGATCCAATATGTTCATCCATTGCTTTAACCAATGACGGTGGCCTGAGACTTAATCGACTAATTTATGTCCAATTAGGAGAGACGTCACATTTCCCTTCGCCGGCGGTGCAAGCCCTTCCGGCTCCGGGAGTCTCTCCGACGCCCCCTCCGTCCGGGCGCTGTTGGGGATCTCCACCATGGGGGTCCGACGCTCAGACCATCGAGGCGCTATGAGATCGCCGCCTCCTTCAGCGTCGCAGACCTCGCCATCGTAGCGAGATCCGCGAAGCGGATAGGTTTGTCCGAAGGTGGGGCGTGGGAGGCCAAGGGAGATTACAAGCTTGCTACCGAGGTTTGCGTTTGATACCTTTGTATCTTCTTATTCTGCACATTGGTGTTCTTTCTGTGGGAAAGGTGGACCTCAAGTCGTCTGTTTTACTAGGAATTTTCAATGGATGGAATTATGTCAAGTCATTTTCTGCAACTCTACTTTCTGGTGAACTATATTAGATGTTCATGTCGAATGAATGTTACCTCTGTTAATAGCGTCAAATATTATAGATTTGCGTCATTTTAGGAACATGGGGATAATCTTGTATTTGTTGATGAACATTGGAGAGAAGTGATATGGAATCTTAGAAGTGATGAGGGCATATCTGCATTGATGAACAGCTACCTGCAAAGAGAAGTGATAAGCTTTCCTTTTATGAATAAACATAACTGACTCATTTTGTGGTGTAAATTGTTATGCCTACCTTGTAAAGTTAGGCATGAGTGAGATTTGTGGTAGTCTGAAACATGTGGGAAATGATCAATCAAGTAAAAGCTAATGTACAAGGCAAAATTGTCTTTATAAATTCAGCTGATTCTTATTTGATTTTTGAGATTTCCCCGGTATGACCTGTCTCATAAATCAAAAGGATCATACCATGCATAAGCTCATCATTCAATCATCTGTAATATGCAAAACAAGAACAATAAATTCATATATATTTATTGTCAATAATTCAAAATACATTCCAATGAATCTCATTTTATTAGTATAAGTAAATGTCTAGCTACACTTTCATTAGAGAAACTAAATAGCTAAGGCTGGGATGGTACCTACCTATCTCAATGACACCTATTTTCCCTATGATCTCGCTCCCCTTGATGGATTAAGAGGAGGGAAGATGTAGGGAAACTTATAGAGAGGTGACCAAGGCCAACTCTAATTCTCCAAAGTTAAAGTATAGTCCTAGATCAATCAGGGTTCTCTCTATATTATCATCTAACAGTATCTTATTTCTAATTCAAATAGGAAGACTAGCCATAACATCTCGATTACATTAATACCCATTGTGAAATAAAATTAAAATCTGTGTATAACATAGTGATTTGAAATATGCCATATGATAGGTTGTAGGTACCCAAAATTCACTATCTTCTGAAGTGACAGAACATGTTAGGTAGGAGATTGTCCATTGTTTTGCAAGTATCTGCGAGTTGCTGTTATAGGTTTCTTCTATTTCTAGCTCAAGTTATAGTTGATAATTTTGATCACTTAATCACTGTGGTATCCATACTGAACTGCTTTTCATGTTCTTTGATACTGCATTCAACATAAACTTTATTGAATGCGCATGAGGTTAAACCATGTATCTGTTTAAACTTGGGTTCAGTCCGTTAGTCACATACACATCCTTTATTTTTTTGGACTATTTGAAGTTCTGCTTTGGTTTCATTTGATGAACATGAATTTTTTAGGTTGTAATATATATTACAAATTAAACCAAGATATACCAGATGTTCATTGATCTGCACATGTTGATTTTTATACATAGAATGAAAGATCCACAAGCAAACTGCCTTTGAGTTATATTGATGTAGTGTCTTGACCAGATACTGTTTCTTCTCTTCTGGTGATGTTTTAGAAGCACAAGCATGTGTGAGGTCCATTCCCCTTTGAACGCATCATTCTGGCCTTCTCTTGTGTCTTGGTCTCGTCATTTTTTCTCTTTTCTTCTGCTAAGTTTCTTGCGTCAACAGAAACTCGATCAATTCTTTCTATCTTGTAACGATATTCTTGTAATGCCTTTTCTTTTCTGCGTTCCACATATCTCTGCAATTACCATATTAAGCGGTCAGCTGTTCTTTTATCTCAGTTAAAATGTCATAAAACTTTGTTTTATTTTTCTTTTAATGAACAACAATCATTTTATGCCCTGGCATGCTTCATTAGCAACTGAAGCCTGAGCATGTAGTGATTATAAGAACTAGGAGAACTTCCAAGAGGAGATGCATTCAAAACACATCGGAACTTGATAGGTTTGTCTTTTGTTCAACTGAAATATAAGGGACAGAGTAAGGCCTGGATATAGTAGGATTGCATTTTGATGTCATGGTGTGTCCATAGGCATCTATATTCGGATGTAATACAGACAAGTGCTTTTGATAATAAAAGAAGATATTGTGCAAATTACCTGGATAAGCCATTGGTAAAATTGTTTTCTGGATGTCAACTGTGACTGGGTAATTCCAAGAAACAAAATGTTTATCGGAGAAGTAGTTCTTATTTTTTTGTAAAGTAGTGAGGTATATTCTTGTGGATGTGAAGTATGAATATGTTCTATTTCCTTTTTCTGTAAGATGAAGATTGTAATGGTATGGTGTCTGCTTTAATTTAAGAGTTGCCAGGGCAGATTTGATTACTTGGAATGTGTGAATTATCCAGTAGGGACCACACTGCTTATCTGCATTCTTACCTTGGACTTTGCCATTTCATGAGAGAGATTTTGTTTATGCAGCTGAAACTTTATTTATGGTGTATGTTTAATAATAAGGGCATGTATACTGAAGTGTTTTAGGATTTTTTTAGTCCATGGTTCTGAATGACATAAGATGTGGTCAGTTTGGTTTGAGAAGCTGAAAGCGATGGCAGCTGCTATTGCTTTTTGCAGTTCAGCTGCTTTAGGAAGACTCTGTCTTCATCAAGGACTTCTAAAGGTCTTTATTATTTGGGGTGGATATGTCTTCGAATAGAAAGAAGATGAAAAGGAGAAAATTGCAACAGAAATAATCATAAACCTCTTTTCGATCCAGTCGGTGTTTGGCCTTCACCTTCTTCTGATTCTCCCACTCCCGAATTTCATTCATCATCCTTTCATACCTGAAAATTGTTTCTGTTGTTAGAAGTAGATTCACTAAATAATTTGCTGCTGCTGAAATTTTTTGATACATCAGATTGCTAGGCAAGCTGTGGTTACCTTTTCTTAATTTCGTCCATCTTTTCTCTCTCCCATGCATTTGCTTTTGTTTCCACTGTATCATAACCAGTTGTTTTCTCAACTCCATTTCCTTTCCCAGAAAGTGATGCTGTAGGTTTGATTGTGGATGATGCTTGTCTCCTTTTTTGGTTTTGTCCGTTTTCAGATCTAATACTGCCTGTATCATCTGGATACTTATCAGAGATCGTTGGTGTCCTTTTAGTGATTAGATTAGTTTCCTTTTCTTTTCCTGAAAGTTTGCGATCGAACCCAGATTCGTCTAGCATTTTTTCTTTGTTTCCTACCGGCTTTTTCACTGGAGAATGATCTGAAATTGTGTTATCCTTCACAAATATTTTGGGTATTGGATTTCATGCTTAATGTTTTCTATGTGTCCTTGGGCTGAATGTGGAAACGGATACAAAAATACCTTAACTATACACATCAGTATGGAATTGATGAGAACACAATGATTCAGCTTTATTATGCTAGTAACTGCAGAAGGACATATAACAGGAAAGTACCTGATTGTTTTTCATCGTAGCCAGTTAACCATCTCGATAGTATGTTATCAGTTGGCTTGTTCATGCTATCTTCCCTTTTGCTTTTTATCTTGGCTGGAGGGCGCTTCTGGTTCAATGGATCTTCTTCTTCCAGTGAAGTGATAGCATATGCAGCTGCTGCAACTGCAGTTGCAAACGCAGCATCGCTGGCATTGTTGACGTCACTCATTTGGCCTGAAAACTGCCTCTGGAACCCAATACAGGTATGTTTTCTTTCTACAAAAGAAGGTGTTTTATGACTTCTTATATGCATTCTTTCAACACAAACACACAGATTGTAGTATTTGGCTTCCTTTGAAATTGCTTCTTTGCTTCTGTGTTGTGAAGCTTATTATGAATGCTAATTGTTTATACATTCAAAACCTTATCAGTCTCAGATTAGAGTACAGTATGGATTGAGACTCGATGGACCTACCAATAGTAACTTGCTTTTTGGCATCCACTCTATCCAAATTGTTAGGCCAATAGAATGATCAGATTGCATCCATGCTGAGCCATTACCTTGTTCTCAATGGGCAACATGACTGGTGCGGAGGATCCTTGTTTTCTAATGGATGGGCACGCATGCAACATGTAGTAATAAAACAAGTGTTTGATTATAGTAGACTGTCTATAGAAATTATGATATAACTTGTTCAGAAAAATAGGTCTGAAATAGTTTATTAACTGCTGATATTGATATAGAAGAAAAATAATATATTTTCACATTTTTATGATTCTCAGTGACTAGCTTAACTTGAAGAAATTCTTTTGCTTTAGTCAAATAATTGCCATGCGAAACATATATGTTTCATTTCATAAGACATGAAGGGCCCACTGGAAACATAAATATGATACCTTCTTTAGATGATGCAGTTTTTTTTGTGGTATCCTTCCTTCAATTGTATTCTGGCGCTCTTCCTAGTATTCTTCTCCTAATTCAGAAAATCTCACCCCTAACAATTAAATTAGATGAATTCATTTGCTGAACCATTTAAAGAAGCCATGATATGAAGGTTTTTTCATTGAATTGTCACATAATCTTATATTCTTATTTGTCATATATAATCATACTAAAGACAACATGTTGCAATTTACATGACATCAGTGAGAGTATTTCCTAAGGCTGCTTCTTATCGTCATTTATTACTGCATGCAGGTGAAAAATTCATTCATAATAGCAAGAAAGACACGAGGAACTCAGTTGGATGTTACAGAAGATATCCAACTTTTTGATACAGAAACAGCTCCAAGGAAGGGTGAAACTGACCACGATTACGAAGCACTGCACCTAATTTGTTTCCACAGATTGTCCAAGCTGGTACAGACCTTGGAGCTTGTTTGGAGCTTGCAAATTGATACAAGCAGGAGGGAGGGATCCATATGGACTTTTATTTGAGACCAAGCTTGGAAACAAAGTCAGGCCTGGATAATTAATGTTGATGAGATGGAGTTCTGGACAAGAAAGTTAAGGCATTGCTTTCACATGCAAGTCCTTGAAAGTATCTGCATATGGATGAGGAAGAAAGGGATAACTTTTCTTGTATTCCCCCCAGGTTCTCTACTTTTCCTGTTTCCGACCTTTTTGCCTGCTCAAGTTACAGGTGGAGGAATGTTCTTGTGTTCCTTCATCATCAGTCAAACCCAGAAGTAAGCTCATGGTTCAAGAATACAAGGATGAAGTGGAAATGGTTACTCATCCTAACTCTTTACCCAGTTATACTCTCTTATGATTGCAGGTTTATTGGACCTAAACTCTTCCGTAAAATTTGTTTGCAGGTATTATCTCTTACAGGCGCACCCGTATAGAGAGAGGACAGATATGTTTATGAAGACGTTACATACTCATCACAATGTACACGTCTAGTTTAGACGAGGTCCTCAACCAGAATGGGCTTGTCATCACCGCTGTCATACTCCCCATCTTCATCTTCTCCTTGCCATCTCTTCTTCTTAATCTCTATCCCGTCCACAGGGCAAGCTTTCTTCTCGCTTCCAGCCTTGTCATCCTCTCCCACGACCAGCACGCTGTCAGCTGTTGCTGGCTGTTCTCCACCGCCCACGACCACTACCGTGTCTTTTGCCGCTTGCCTTTCCAATTCTTCTTCATCACCAGTGCCGCCGCCGCCGCTTCCACAGGAAGTTAAAGGTTGGGCCTCGCCGCCCAAAAGGGCATCCGGTACGTCACCGTTGCTCGGCCCGGGGTCCTCAACGCACCCCTTGTTCTCTTCATCGGCTTCAGAGTCGTCATCATCGTCTTCTGTGGCAGCCACGGAAGAAGCAGCGAGTGACCTGATGGAGGTGGCAGCTCGGGCGATGGCTTCTCCAACGAGAGTGGGGTCAGTATGACCGGCGTCTGCGTCCTCCAACTCCATTGTTTCCGTATCCACCATCTCATTCTTTCATGAGGTAAGAAAACATGCTCGATCAGTCTCTTTGGCTAGTTGCAGGGGCAAGAGCTGCAGCCACGTGTCCGAGGCCTCCGAGACTGGTACATATCTCTTTGGCTACGTGGAAGTAAACTCGAAGAGAGCACCGCACGCGAGGTAACAAAATACTATCCATGTCAGTTTTACTACCGCAAATATTTATAATACGAAGAATCGCATCATATCCGATAGCAAAGCAGATTACACATTACAATACATACACGCAGACCGTCCAAATAAAAATCACCACGAACTATGAGACAAATAATTTGGCAAAGGCAACAAATGTTTGACAGAATTGACGCCAATAGACTCTCATCTTAGCATTCACAACCAGATGATCGCTGCAGCTGTCTTCCACCACCCGCCACATCGATGGTATCAGGAAGATATCTTCACCATAGTAAAAATGACATTGATAGCATTAACACAAAAAACAAGCCCAAGTTTAGAGGTGATCAATCACCAAATAAATAGATTCCTAAAACTTCAATTTTGATTTAGATAATGTTATGGAGTTCAGACGATAAGCAGACTGTGATCTAAATGATGACCTTTAGGTTGAGTTGATGTGAATGGCAGTTGATGCACAAATAGGACTAGATGGGTTGGGAGGTGATATGAGAGATACTTACATGTCTTCCTCTGGCTCATTCTTGAGGGCATTCATGGCGATACACTGGAAAGCAGCTTCCACATTGAGTCCCTCTTTAGCTGATGTCTCGAAGTAGGGGATGTTCCCCTTAGAAGCACACCATGCCTTTGCTTTCTTCTCAGACACCTGAAAAATCCAGATATGGAAAGAACCATCTCAAAAACATAACAGTATCACATATTGACATCTATCGATTCATCGAAATGATGTCGTTAGATCGATCTCTTCCATTTGCTTTGTTTGCTTGGATAATATGGAAGAGAGATTTTACCACCGATGATAAAGTTTTCATTTCCTATATAGCATTGAGAAGGAAAGAGTGTCTCACCACTCGGCTGTTACCGCCATCGATATCAATCTTGTTACCCAAAACTATAAAAGGGAAATTCTCAGGGTCCGATGGGCTGGCCTGAAATATACACAACCAATACAGATGTACCCGTTTTTTTTTTTTTTTTTCATGTGTACTGCTCCAAATCAATCGAGAAAGTCAAGTATCATTTACCTGAAGCAGAAATTCTTCTCGCCAATTATTCAAATTATCAAATGATTTCATGACATTAACATCATACACAAGGACGCAGCAATCAGCTCCACGGTAGAAAGCCACACCAAGACTCTGAAACCTTTCTTGCCCTGCAGTGTCCCATATCTGAAAGATAAAACATCAGACAACAAGCTTATTATATTATAAACAACGGAGAACAAAAACAAGAAAGATATCTCCAAAGCCGAAAGCCCAACAGCACAACAGACTAGTAAAGTTTTAAAAAAATGATGATTTTGCTGAACTTTGATGTTTCCATTAATATACCATTCAAGTCTACTTAGACACGGCTAATCTCCTATTTGTCAAGAAAACATCATCAATGATTAACTCTAGTAAGATAATTCAACTATATCTTTTACCATACACGTGAGAAGCTGCAATAGGTCAGAAAATTGTGGGTAAGTTCTTTAATTTCCCTTCTGAAAATAACAGCAAAAGAAGGAAAATACCTAGTTCTAGACATATGATGATAAGTCAGTTACATTGTTGAGAATATTTTCAAAGGTTGATAGACCAAGCCATTTACATAAGACAGAAAGTGAATGTCATTTAATACAAGGTCATGATCAGCTTGAGTATGGATAAACCTAACTGCAAGCTGAGCTAAAGATGAACATTCTTAATTTAAGAGGGATTCAAGTCAAGCTCAAATCAGATAGAGCTACACCCAATCTCAGCCGGAAGCATGCCTGGCCAAGTTTAGTTAGAACCATGTTAAGTAGCTATAAGACCAAACCACATGAATCTTATAGCACAAACAGAAGTGTAAGTATCAGGCTCCTCAATACATGCACAAATCAGAAGCCAAACCACCATCAAAGAGAATACCAGCTTACCTAAGTGGCTAGATTCACAAAATGTTCATATATTTCAAGCAAATGATATCAACTTAGCTTTTGTCTTGAAATATCTTTACAAGATTATGTTACATGTGAATCAGGCTTGTCTAACTTGAACATCATTTGTGGTAATTGTATTTATGGTTTCCAACCAGTGCCATGGTACAACTGTCTTTTCTATGCCACAGTACTCAAGCTTAATTTGTATCATGAGCTTGTGCTTCTTTGATTGTCCAATTCTATTAGCTTTATCATGTCATTATTTTGATTCATGTTCATAATTACTTGAACAGAAAGATGACTGATATTTGCTTGCTTATGTTTCTTTTGTTTCTTTATAAACTGGTCACCTACACTTACGTTTGTTCATAATCACCAGAGGAAATATGATTCATGTGCAAAGTACTTTTTCATCTGCCCATGCCCACAATTAGGAACATCAAGTAATATTTCAGATAAAAGGGATTAATTCTGACTTCTAAGTAAGCATAAATATCACAGATTACAATCCTTGGATGAAAACAACAGTTCAAGTCAGAAGAAAACCATTACACCATTAAAATTCATCATGAAACCAATTTGAATTATATATCATGCTTAGGAACAAGAAGCACCCAAAAGGGAGGGCAAAAGGAATCCCAACACAAGCCATGGCGAAGAGTTCCTGACCTGTAATGTGAACAACCTGTCATCGATCTGGACTTCCTTAGTCAAGAAATCGGCTCCAATCGTAGCCTTGTACTGATTACTAAACTTCTTGTTCACATACCTATATTCAAATTAGCATCCAACCCCAAATCACCCACCATAGACAAATGAATCGCGACCAAAAGAACAAATCTTTCGTTCAAAAATTAAACGCGTACTGATTCATGAGAGATGTCTTCCCAACCCTATCAAAGAACACCATTACACATAAGGAAAGATCCTGACACATAAACAAGAGAAAGGAGGGGCTTTTTCCACTCACAAACGGGTGGAGATCTCACCCGCTGTCCCCGAGGATGATGACCTTCAGGAGCATCCGCCGCCGGGACGCCATAGATCCGACGACCGACAGAGGCGAGAAGAGCCTGGCGACCCACGGTTTCTTCCGTCACCACCCGATCGAGCCCTAGAACAATTGCCACAAGAGAGCGAGGCAGCGTCGATTGAGACCCAAAAGGACACCCAATTAAGACTGTTGTGCGCTTCTTCGCTGTATTATTATGAGCAATATGATTAGGGAACCCACTTGTCTTACCCGATCAACCAAGGAGGTGAGTGGCCTTATGTGGAGCCCACTTTCGGGGCCGAATTGGTGACATCCCAGGTCAGGTGGAAAAGAGAGTACATTCTGAACGGTATTGGACACTTTGACTTCTGTTGTAGGAGCTGGCCTGGTTAAGTATCATCATCATCACCTTAATAAGAGTTGTTGCTGCCAAATAGTGGATTAATGAGCCATTAATGGGTAATGATTAGCTTGTAAGGATAAATGAAATATTAATAGCATGATTAGAAGCATGTTGGAGGATTAATTACATATTATCTCTATAATTAATAATTTTTAATTTTTTGATCCTTACACTAGTTTAATGATAAATTATATATATTTTCATCGATTTTATGAAGAAAAATAAAATTAAATATTTCATATAAGGACCTTAATATAATTTTTAAAAATATAAGAATTGAGATATAAGGTAATTAATTAGATATAAGGAGTTTATGACCTTTTGAATGTTCTTATAAAAGTTAGATGAGAAGAAAAGTTGGAAGACAACTCAGCTTTGACTACCTGCTAACAATGACTTGCATTCAAGGAGATGTTCTTGACACAAACAATCCAAAATTCTTTGAACTGAGACCAGAGAGTATGCACAAGGGGGAGAGCTTATGAAGTTAAAATCATAAAAAGAATCAGTCAGATGTTCATCATTATTGGCAAAAGAAGGCCTAAACATATTTGAAGAAGCCTATAAAAGCATTCCAGAAACTATACTTATGGCTGGAACATGATGTTTTTGTGCTTTACAATTGAACAATCTGCAAAAGTTTCTTCTCACAAGCTGCTGCCAAAGCCAGAGCTGTCTTTCTTCTTCTCCGTCTCTATCTCCTGTGTATGTTGACCTTCGCTGCTGGCCGACGCCGATGGGTGCTGGCCATATTCACTGGTAGGCGCGCTGTAGTCGCTGCTGCCGTACTCTGGTGTCAGTGCCATTTTCCTGAACTTCTTCATATCCTCATTGTACTGGCTAGAGTCATAGTCGGAGCTGCCATGCGAACTGTAAAACCTGCTATGACCCGGCCTGATGCCTTCGTTCAGATCTTCGAGAGACACATCTCCTTCCAAAGCACGCATGATCTGATTGGTTTTCAGTCAGTGGGGTTAGTTAGTAAAAGCTCGCTGTAGGAATAGGAAGTATCTTTCATGTTATCGCAAAGGCTGAAATATATATCAAACTCAGCCCATGTGCTTCAGACAAGAACTGATTACAAGAATTCTTGAGAAGTGGAGTTCGTATAATCCGAGGAAACAGGATGCAGAAATAATGGATAAAAGATAATTTTAATTGACAGATGATAAGTTCCTACAAACTAGCAAAAAGAAGGTTAACTTCAAGGAAGGTGTTTGTTGATCAGTATCACGAGAGAAACTAATGCAGACACAGCAAAATGGAAACAAATGATTCAAGAGAAATTGCCATAACAGAGAAAAAAAAAACAGATCTGACAGAAAAAGAACCATTTAAGATATATAAAAAAGAACAAAGAATCAGCACCTGACTCATCCTTGGCCGTCGCCGTGCTGAGTGGCGCACACAAGCAGCAGCACAGGCAATCATGCAAGCCATCTCATTTGGGTCAAAGTTCCTACCCAACTTTGGATCAACAAGGGCATCGTAATTGCCATCCTCAAGAGCTCGAGTAAGCAATGGCCTTGCCTGCAGATACAAGCAGCTCAAAGAATTGAGTGCTGAAGGTAAGCAGAAGCAACATCATGATGCACAAAAGTATACAGAACAAGATTAGGCACACCATGTACTAACCCAGTCAACTAAGCTATCATCCATGAAAGTTTGCGACGAATCAACAGGACGGCGTCCAGTGATTAGCTCCAGAAGCATGACACCGAACGAAAAGACATCTGATTTATCAGTGAGTTTACCTGAAGATGCATATTCAGGTGCCAGATAACTGCAAGAATGCAGAGATTATATGTTAAACTGTGATGGTAAAGGATATCATGAGCATGAAAACCTTAGGAAAACCTCAAATTCAAAAGCCTTCTGCATAGTACAATTAGCATCCAACATAAAAACTAAACGATTTGCAGTTGTTCTGGAGAATAACCAAAAGGAACCTCAAATTTAAAATCCTTCCACATGGTACAATTTGCATCGAACCTAAAAACTACACGATTTGCGGTTGTGCTGGAGAATAACCAAAAAAAATAGAATCCAAATTGCAACAAAAATATTGATAGCAGAACAGATTCCTGATAAAGACTGCCACATGATACAAGAACCCTAACATTTAAAAAATGAGTCTTTAGAAGGAATCAACCATTTAATATAAACTAAGTCCAGGATAAAAGCAAAAGCAAAAGTGAGCATACCCAAAGGTTCCCATAACCCGAGTGGAAACATGGGTGTTGTTATCAGAAGCAAACTTTGCAAGACCAAAATCTGCAACCTGAAGATCAGAACGCAACGTTTAATTTTTTTCTATGTTCTTAAAGATAAATTAACAGGAAGTTACCAAAGTAAACGCTGTTGATTAGGATGAATTCAACCAAAAGCATTATTCTCATTCTAAAGGCATACATGGCAAACATGAAAAATAGAATATTTGCATAATATTCATGGACAAAATTAAAATGAAAAACAATGGCATCGACTTTTCAAACACTCAACTCTACTTTACAAGTAATATTTAAATCAATCCCCCCATTTGTTGAATAATAATCCAAGATACCTTAAAAATTTTATTATACAGAAGCTTTTTATCCCTCCATCTTAATATCTTAAACTGTTCTCTTAATATTGCTAAAATTATAATTTATATAGTCAATCTTAGTTCTAATTAATATAAAACCTTTAACTTATAAAATGTCTCCATAACCTAAATTAAAATTATTTTCAATTGAACTTTCATCAACTAAAATAATATAATCGTGTCTATCCCATAAATGACTAATAAGTTCCTTCATTACTAATGTTGTCAAACATAATCTTTCATCATCAATCTTATAGATAAACTAACAAGAATTTGCCAAAAATACTACAGTGCAAAATAAATGCTACATTGATTAGGAAGAATTAAGCCAAAGCATTATTTGTATTTTGAATCTATACATGTCAAAAATGAAAAAAAGGAAAGAGACACCTGATCCTATTGCATAATGTTACTGGAACAGAATTTAAATAAACAACAATAATAACAGGAATTTACCAAAAGACTACAGTGCAACGAAAAAAGAAAATAGAATTCAAATGAAAAACAATAGTAATGAGGAAGCACATATTACTTGCAGAAGCAATACATATTTGAACTTGGTTATGTATACAAGATAGATGATGTGGTGATTTGAGTAAAATTCAATGGACAAAAAAGCAGCACTTGCTTACCTTTGGCTCAAATTTGTAATCAAGAAGAATGTTAGCTGCCTTAATATCACGGTGAATAATCTTAGGGTGACCTGCAGAGAAAAATGCCCTTCATTAGGAACAAAGTAAAAAAAAAATTAAGCGAGCAAATCAACACTAAGCTTTAAGTTTGAGAAGTAATAAAGACAAAAAAAAAGGAGAACAAACTCACAGTCCTCATGAAGATATGCCAAACCCTTTGCAGAACCCAGTGCAATTTTCAATCGTGTAGACCATTCCATAGTTGGCCGATCTCTCCCTGGCAATATAGATTAATTTCAAACGAAAGTTTCTAGTAGTAAAATAGTAATCCAGAGAAGGATGAAACAAGTATAAAACATCAGCTATTAACAGACTACACTTTTGGGGAACAAATCCTACAGGAATGCAGGATCATCCTCAAAAGACATGTTGGATCAAACATCTATCATCTGAAAACAAAATCTTATGGACTGTATTAAGTGTCCAACAATAGTCACAAGGACCATTTGTTGGAATCGGCAATTCTGGCTTTAAACAAGTTAATTAAAAACTTTTTAGCATTCAGTTTGAAGCGTCATTACTAACTAGACATTCTTTTCTTTTGCTAAGGGTTCATAAAGCTGTACAAACGACTGGAATATCACCTAATAACTATTTCATGTAAATTGATGGGTTGGACATATAAAACATTAGAGTAATTTCCTCAATCAAGATCCCCAATCTTTGTATAAACTATATGGAAGAAAATTCTACTGATAGAAAGAAGATAAGATTTTCTGAGTTAATTTGAAAGAAAAGTAGAGAAGTTAAGAATAATCAGGAATATTAGAAGGTGTAACGAGTACACTATGCATAACTATAGACAGTCACTATCAATAATATAATAAATCATGATACAAGAGTAATAAAAAATCATTTTTCTTAGAAAACCATCTGAATTTTCTTATATGAACTTGTACTACATCTCAAATATGCACTGAAAAACCATTTCTGATCCAAATCCATGCAATGAAGTTACAAACACGATGATCTAGTATAGAAAGTTTAGCACCAAAGTAAAAGAAAAATTAAATAGAGCAGAACTATCCGAGCTAAAATTTGGAGATGACAACATGAGATTGTGGCTCACCATGCAAATGGAACTCCAATGTATTGTTAGGAACATATTCATAGACAAGCAGCCTCTTGCCTCCAGAAATGCAGTATCCAACCAACGTAACAAGATGCTTATGATGTACACGACTAATGATATCAACCTCTGCCTGGAATTCACGCTCTCCCTGCCCACTTCCGATTTTCAATTGCTTGACTGCAACTTCCTTACCATTTGGTAGTACTCCTCTGTGTACATAACCGAAACCACCTTGCCCAAGGAGATTAGCATCAGAGAAACCATCGGTTGCCATAACCAGCTGTTCATAGGTGAATGTGCTTCTTGAGAGGCGAAGGGCGCCACCAGGAGATGGAGGCAGTGGCACCTCAGAACCGGAATAATTGGACCCAGACCCTCCACTGCTACTTATCATAGGCGGAGGTGGAGGGGGCAGATGGCCTGGAGAGTGTGGTGGACGTGATGCAAATGGAGGAGGTGGAGGAGGACCTGGAGGCAGTTTGACAACATGGTCTGCCGGAGGTGGAGCATTCTGTTGCCAATGTTCACCATACCGGTCATCTGAAAACACCATCACATTCATTTAGATGATGATACTTTTCTCGATCAATAGTCAGAAAATGCAAACAGAATTAGGAAACACAAATAACAATCCTATTTAAAGTCTTAACAAAAGGTAGTGATGTGATCATTTGATGCACAATAGCGACAAGTCAACACCTATGCAATGCAATCTTAGTTGCAAAAGTAGGCAAATTATATCAACTTGAAAACCATTATCTGATACTTGCATCATTGCAGATGTCATATGAAGAGAAACCCAGGTACCTCCATTCATGCAGGTATCTTCCTTTACAAAAAACAAAAAAAAAAAGGATTTCATAAATATGCATTGATCCTCCAGGTCGAATCATCAAGTGGAGTTAATATGCAATATCTGCATCTTTCTCTCAGATATAAAATTCTCACTGTATGACAATCTGCTTAATATTTAATTCTCTTGTCTAAATATTCACCCTTGTCTTCTGATAGAGAATAATCAAATAGTTGGTTCTTGAATCCTGACACTCATGGAAAAAAGAAAATTACAGAAAAAAAATCACTTTTTCCACACAAAATCTGACAACATTCATGAAAAAAATAGAAATTTGTGGAAGTACAGCGAAATAGACGATATTTAGGTTTCATTATAGATTATAGATTGTAGATTATGATCTAAATCAATGAAAAAAGAACATTTTTGGTAATTGTTACGAGAAAATTAGATCAACCTTTTCCTGCATGCGGAGGCAGCGGGGCAGCACCGTAGTAATGGGGCGGTGGAGGCGGCGGCCGGCGCTTCTTTTTCCAACAACAGACGCATACTAAGCTTAGCAGCAAGAGGATCACCACCCCGCCCACCGCAATACCAACCACGAGCGGAGTCGAGACCGAGCTCGAAGACGACGACGACGGAGAGAGCGCAGACGGGGCGGTCGGAGTCTTGGGCGACGGAGGAGACGGAGTCCTGGGTGGCGGCGGAGACAGAGTCCTCGGCGGCGGAGGAGACGGCGGGGTTTGCCCGGAGGGCGGCGGCGGCGGAGAGCCGGAAGGGCTGGAGGGAGGCCGCGAGGCTGGGGGCGGGTTGGCGGGGGAGGGAGGAGGTGAGGTGGGCGGGGGAGCGGAAGGGGTGGCCAGAGGCGGGGCTGCAGGGGTTGCTGGAGGCGGGGC